GCTTCAGGGGATGTTTAAAACTTGGCATTTTAAAAACAGCTTCTAAAAATCTAACCTTTAGATTCAGTTTCAGCCTATGGTCAGCACAAAATTATTGCAAAGTCCAATACAAGTTATCCTGAAGGCAATTTCAGTAATTACAGAACTTTTCCTGTACTATAATTAGTGATAATGGATAAGTGAGAGATAAACTTCAACATAAAACAAATTATTTAAATGAAAGATTTTTATCTAACCAGCAGCAAAATGCCATCTCTTCGTTATTTCCAGACTAGAAGAATAGTACACCAAAGAAATGCTTTAGAGGTTCAAACTTTCTAGAGCAGGGTTTCATTACTAGAAGCTAGAAACAACAATCCAATAGAAATATTTCTTTTCCTGATAATAGCCCTGATTCTTCCTGTTTCCCAACTGGCCATCATGTACATGTTTGTGTGCAGTGTTACCTGCCAAAAATGTCAGAATTAGAATAAGTATCCAATTACACTCTGTAATGTGCCAACTTTGCAAGAACTGAAGTAGTGACTTGGAGTTAGAAGAAGAACCCTGTCTGAAGTGGCACAGACCCCTTTACCTTTTCCATTCTTCATCACTTCTGTCTTTACTGACAAGATCTTTATGACTTCAACTTTTTCGAATTTGGTTAAAGCCGTCCCTGTCCCTACAATCAAGAACAATTTAGGCAGGTAAACAACATCAGCAAGCTGAAAAGAGCATTTAAAAAGCCCTGTGATACTATCACACAAATTCTTTTTCTTTAAAGAAAAAAAAAGCAGACTTTCAAGGTGGGGGGGGGACACAGAGGGCAAATCCACCTTTGAGCACTACTTCAAAGTTAAATTCAACTTTTTTATTCAACCTGAATAAACAGGTTCAAGATATAGTTTTCCTGAGTATCAAAAGGAAATTCTAAAAATGCTCAATATACATATTCCTCAGTTATTCAGAAAAGCAGCATATTCAAAGTAGTCCTAAACCTCACCTGCTATGTTCTATCAACTTATTGTATATAAAAAATTCTATGTGTCAGTTCAGAAGTCAATGATTTTCTAGTTAGTTTTTTTTAGCAGTTTGGTCTCATGTACATAAATATCAGCCTCTCTCTTGGCTTTCTGAAAGAAAAAACAAAAACCCCTCCACATGAACCACGCAGTGATGCTCACTGCATTACTACGCGGGAGTTTGTTATTTAACAGACACCCTCTCAACAGCCTTATATGTTTGTGTGCACAGCCAAGCACACCTGGAGCAGAAGGCATTCTTTAAAAGCTGGAGAAGGAAAGTGGCCTTCAGTTGTTAAACACGCAAACGTTATTATTCTGTTCTCAGTCACACCCTTTCCTCCTGCCAGAAGCCAGCTGGCAGCCAGAGGACGTGGCCAACTGCAATACTAGCAGTATAAACTGATTGGATCCAGCTTGGCATCCAGGAGCCGTATGTGGATGCAATTGTTCTTACACACCGCTCCTTCGTAAATTCAATACAACAGCTCAGGTAACATTTAGAGAAAGGACCAGATTTAAAAAATAAAAATAAAAATAAAAAATATCACTGCAATGTCTCACAGTCTTCCTTCTTACGTTTTAGTATGTAGTATAAAAGTCATCTAAAATTCAGATAGCTTCAGTAATCATAGCATCAGCTGAAGGACAACAAACCTCTACTTCCTTTTTTTTTTTTTTGTTATTAAGTATGTAGAGAAAGATCTTTTTGTCCTATGACAATTACATAATAAATAAAGCATTGCAAAGTCCACTTAGTTTTGAGGTTTACCAAGATTAAACTTCCACAGGTGGGGATTTGTTGGAGAATCCCTTCTTGAAGAATCAATCTAAAATCCAGTTGGGAAATTTTACAACACAAGGGAATCTTCATAACAAATACAAGCGTGAATAAACAGCTCAGTCTCCTGTACTCTGTAGCTATAACTCAGTGCAGAAGAGCATTCAGTGGTTAGAGCTACTTAACCATTTTTTGCACCACTTTTTGCACTACTGATTTACCTTCCCGATACTAGTAAAAATATCTTCATTGGTCTAACTGTGTAATTGCAACATTTGGAAAGAAACTCATGCAAAGGTTTGAAAACAGTGTCCAGGCACGATTTATTCCAGGACATGAGCCTAAAACCAAATCAATTAAAAGCTATAGATGAGTTTATTCTTTCAGCCTGAAGTCTCCTTTCCCTCGGTGACTCCTCATCTCTTCCAGGCTCTCAGTTTGTTCAACGCTCGATTTAATGCGCAATTAAGAAGTTAGACAGGCCTAACTAAACTGTCAGTTCAGGACGAGTTTTCCCCTTTATCTAAAATAGATAAGAAAACTCAAGGCATCCCCTCCTCCCTCCTTTCCCAATCACTCCAAACTACAGCAGAAATTAGGTATGTAGCTTGCTATTGATATTTTAACTTGGCATTATTTTTGCTATAATGATGTACAGTATTTCAGTTGCCATCTAATATATCATTAAAGATGCAAAGAAATCATCCAAATGTTTCCAAATCAACTACTTAAAAGTGCTGAGATTTGTTTTTATTATTTTGGTCTCCTGCTGCTTGCTGACAGACTGCATGTGGACACGACTCCCAGTACCAAGCCAAATCAACAATTAATTTGGGGAAAAAAGTCAGCAGGGCACTTTATTGCTACGTAGAATAAAACTGAAGTTAAAGTTCCATTTATACACAAAAAAGTGGTCAGACGTGAACTGTGCACACACTAAGACAGTTAGAGTAAACATTCAAAAAAACTTGTCATGACCAAATCAGGTAACTTGTTTGGTTGTTGCAAGACAGTATGCAGCAAATCTGTTACCACTTATAAATTTCCTAGACTGCTTTAAAAATACAAGGCAAGATATGAAAGCAGTTTCTGAACATGCATCAAAGTCATAACTACCTCCGGTCACTGTGCTAGACCTTCTTAAGAGTAAAAAAAGAATTTCCTGGTCCTATCCCATCTATTCAGATTAACTAAATGAAATGCAAGGGGTACACAAGAAAGGGAAAAAAAAAACCACTTTTCAATGCTTTTGTAAACAGACAGGGGATTGTATCAGATATTTATCAGATCTATAGGAGAACCAATATTTTTTCAAACATTTGCAATCTTTTCACATATACATACATCTTCAAAATAATTCAGTGCCGAAATTTAAAAAAAAAAAAAAAAAAAAAAAAAAAAACACTAGTGTTAAGCTAACTTATTTCACACATACAGAACAATGTTCCTATTGTATGACCACACAGTTATGGAAGAAGTAAAACTAATTTAGAAATGTAATACTTAACACTATGAATTGCAGTGTACTAGCACAAGAGCATTACATCCAAATCACTGCTTAGCATATTCTCAGAAATATAAATTCATTACTCCTACAATAAACACTTTTAGAAAATAAACTCTGCGAAACAGTACTCAATATTTCACATGAATCACTAAAACAGCAACCTATCGCAAGCAGGGAGGGGGAGCACACAGGGGTTTTTTTTTCCCTAACAACAGAAAACAAACAAAATTGTCTATATTTAAAACCCAGCACCGTCCTACCCTACTCATTTTCAGCTAAAATGTTATTTCTGGGGCTGGAAAGCAAGGGAGTGCACTGCAATGTGGAATTCACCTCGAGACGGATAAACTGGTACCTATTGAAAAAGATGTTAGATTACACATATTGTCCAGTATTTCCAATTTGAAATATGACTGAAATGCATGAATCTCCAGCAAAAGTTATAAAAAGTGTAAGGAGAGAAAACAGCAGTTTTCCAAGACCAGTTATAGAAGCACAAAAAAGACTCATATAAAGCTTAATTTGAATATGACAGTGAATGTTAAGTGCCACTTTGATACGAGTGAGTCTTCAACTGCAGAAACATTTCTTTTTTTCTTTTTTCAGACTGCATTTCATGAAGAAATTACATTTATTTGGAAGCACAGTACTTCCAGAGTGCAGCACATACATTACCTGAAGCAAAAAATAAATAAATAAATAAATAAATAAAAGGATTTGAAAATCAAGACCGTGATTTAAGAGAAAAACAATGACTTACAATACATCAGCCAAGAGAAAAAGATGACACTTTGAGGGGAAGTCCTACACTTGATACAAAGAAGCAACCTTTCAAAGCGTACCACCACAGAGCATGCAAGACTTCTCAGTCATGGTTCATTCATCCTAAATTTTAGCCTACAGAGAGTGCATTTTAAAGCCAAAAGACCCATTTCTAAATCTGTAGGTGTCTGGACAGCTTGGCATAAGAAGCATTCCCAGCGTACCAAAGGTGACCGCACACGACATAACAGCAGTAGCAGTCACTACCTGCTGGCACACGCAGATCAGACGCTACCTTCCACAAGAATAGTGGGTGCAATTAATGAAGAACGGCCTGACACCCAGGCAGGGAAGCAATCACAGGGATGGACTGGGCAGGAGCCCTCGGGACTTCACGCAGGTGGTCACAGCAGGCTCTGCGCAGGGGATGCCCTGGGCAAAGGGAGAGGTCGGGCCACTCGCAGTTAATTTTACCAGTTCTTAGGAAATTCTTAGCATTCTCGAGCAGGAATGACTAAGGGCTGCACTTTGAAACCGAGTTCCAGCTAAAAACATGACAGCGCTAATGACTCAAGTGCTTAGCGCTGTATCGTTTAGGGTAGTTCAGTTTGTATTTACCGCTGCACTGGCCCCCAGGGACGCTCAAACTCTCCGGGAAGGTCTCTGCGAAAGCCGTCCCAACCTGAGGCACCCCAGCCCCTTCACCTGCCCCCTCCAACGAGGGCCACCAGACCTGCCCTTGGCCCCTCTCGCTCCTCGCCTGCTCCCGGCGAGAAATCGCGTTCCGGGACCGGTTCTGTCCGGCGCCCAAGCCCGAGTTTTCCAGAGGATGTCCCTGCCTGACTCGCCAGAGCCGCACAGAGACCCCAACGGAGGGAAAACGGGGAAGGAGAGGCCGGGCGGGCCGGGCCGGGCCCCGCTCCGCTCGCGCGCTCACACACTCACTCACCCAGGCCGGCAGCTCGGTGGCGGCCACGCCGAGCCGCACCGCCTCCTCCTCGTCCTCCAGGAAGGCGAGCGCGCGGCCCAGGCGCGACGCCTTCCCGCCGCGGTGCCGCCGCATCCAGAAGAGGCCGCAGAGCGCGATGAGCACCCAGCTGAAGCTCAGCCCCAGGTAGCCCAGCACGTACACGGGGAAGATGAGCACGAAGCTCCGCGCGAACTGCGACACCAAGCCCGTCACGTCCGCGCTCAGCAGCGGCGGCGGCTCCGGCGGCCCTCCCGGAGCCGCCTTCTCGGCGCCGGCGGCCCCGGCGGCGGGGGGCTGCTTGCCCGCGGCCCCGCTCATGCTCTCGCGGCGGCGGCTGCTCCTGCGAGTG